TGACTCTTAGTGCTCTGGGTCAGTTTTCTTTTTTGTAAAATGGGTCCATATCTACCTCACAGGATGGTTATGCAGATCGAATGAGGCAATGACTGTGAAGTCTCATAGATTCCTATCCAACATTATCATCTTCCTCAAGAATTTGATTTTTTATAACCTGGGGGTGGAATTACTTTAGTATCTAGGTATCTTCTTTGCAGTCAGTTCCGAGGACACACGCGCACAGATTGATGTGTCCTCTTAGTGACTGTGAAAATTTTACATTTTTCACGGTATTTGTAAATGACAGAAATCTATGCTAAACCAACTGAAGCCAAGGAAAATTATTGAAATTATTCCAAAAGGTACAGATATTAAGCTGAGCTATCTGAGTTTGCCTTTTTTTTTTTTCCAGGCGGAAATAGTCAGATATTGGCAGTTTCATTTGGTTCAATCAAATACAAAATAGAGGCTTGCCCTATGTTGTACCAGTCTTGTTTTCTCATCATCTCCTTTTTAAAAATTGTTGACAAAATGGTAAAATATTGTTACCACTATGGTTTAGTGGTCACTAAGATGAAGCCACTCCCAAACATGTTCTTTAGTGTAAAATGGCTGTCAGTCATCTGCTGTCCGATCATCTCCACTGGGAAAGAGCAAGAGTTTGATTGGTTTCAGCAAATGTCTCAGAGGATCACAGGGACTTTTCAAGGCCTTAGGCTCTTGGGACAAATGATGCCATATCCAGGGTTATGAAGTGTTCCTATAACTTAGGCATGTGTCTCTTACTTGGTCCCTGAGGTCATGGATTAAGTGTGGACCTAAGAGGGGATTTGGGGTAAGGCTACCAGGAGAAGGGCAAACAGATGCTGAGCTGCAAAAATGACCAGTACACCTTAACAGAAAAGGTTGACTGATGTTATTTTTATTCTGTATGTGAAATCAGACTTGAAAAGGCTGACAGTCCTCAGATGACTCAATGAATTGAAGGGAGAAAAATATTTATTAGAAATATTAAAAGACATGGTGCTCTGTGTTCCTAGAATCATGATGCAAGTTTAGGGAAAGAACAGGAGAAGGAAAGACTTTGAGAAGATTTATTTGGAGCCCCATATTTTCTTATTTGGTGCAGACCTTTATGATGGACAGGGAAATTCTAGAAAATGAGCAGAGAAACAGAATATAGGAACTCTTTGAGTCCATTGTAGGCTTCCTTTTTTTTTTTCTGTGACCCCTAACTCCTTCTCCAGCTTATTTCACTCCCTTGTTTGTTCCTTTTCCACATATGGATCTCAGCTATGGGAATGAGATAGATGGAAAGAAGAGAGAAGAGTCTGAAGATAGGTTAAGATGCTTCCATGGAGATAGACTATATCCTGGTGCATGTCTAGGGGTCTTTAACCTAGGGACTTCTTCCACAGATGGTAGAACAGATATCTTTTCTACCTTACTGGAGTAATTTTCAAAAGCCAAAAAATATACGCTGTGCAGGTGGCTATTTTGTTGGTGGTTAATTTACATTCTTAATTTGAATAGCTTGTGCTAAGAAAACGAAAACATTATTATTCCTAAACTAGGATGGTTAACTTTCATATTTGGGCATGTCTGATTTAGGACAGCAGTGACACACAATTTTTCCTAGAAAAATGACATATTAGACAATTTAAAGTTTCATGTTGAAATCTCGATACTTTTTGGTCCTTAGCCCTTGGGTCATGCCTGACCTCAAGGTTGTAGGAAACAGTGAGAAATGAGTGAAAGGAGAGGGTTGCCATTCTGTGCATTGAAAAGTTAAGCCACTGTTATCAAGGATACAATGACTTGTGTATTGTTTAGATCTTGAGATTCAAGTTTGTAAGCAATACCCAAAGGTCTCTTTTAAATTTATGCACCCCAGCCAATAACACATGAAGGTTCCTCATAACTTGGAAAATAAGCCTTAATTCATTTGTCTCTTGATTGACATTAAAGTGTCAACATAACTGCTTTTTGGGCCCAGTGGGTGTTGAGGAAACCTGAAGAAGAGGAAGAGGAAAGTAGCCACAATTTTGTTATGCTACAATTTCTTGGATTCTTATATAAAAATATCCTGTCTTACAATGTCAGGGATTTGTATGTCATTTCAGGCCCAATTCTTTGTTTTTTATCTCATTAACGAGGAGTACTTTTCTGACTCAAAAAATTAAACCATTTATTTCATAGAATAATCCATAAAGTTGAACTGCAGAATTGACATAGTTTATCTGAAATATGTCACTCTCACCCACATTTGACCTTACTATAAGAGGAAAATGCTATTATTTCCACATGAGCTTAATTTTGGTTTGGGGAAGGGTTTGGAGGACATTCTTGTTTCAAGAAACCAGAAATAGAAAACCCAACTCAAACTGGCTTAAAGAACAAAGGGTATTCATTGGCTCATGTAGGTGAAAAACCCTGAGACAGAGTGGAGTTCAGGTGAGGTGTCGTCAGGGCTCTGGTTCCCTTTCTTTGTGTGTTTTTTTTTTTTTTGACTCAACTCCCCTCTAAGTTTCAGCTTTGTTTTCAGTCTGGTTTCCCATATGGTTGTAATATTGCTGCCAAGGCAAATGGGGCTGCTTGTTTCCTTGATCACGCTTAGAGGAATATTCAGCCTTGAAAAAGGTTTTAGTTATATTCTTAAAAGCATTATTTCATCAAAGGAACTTAAAATGTTATAATTTCTAAGGACCTTAGATAGATGCCAGTTAGCTTCCCAAAGTTGTCATATCATAAAAATCACCCGTGGAGCTTTATAAACTATATATATTCTTAGGTCAAAATCCATGCTTACTAAATCAAAGATATGGGAATTTGTTTTGAAGAGTTTCTAGGTGGTTCTGAGGGTCAGACAATTTGGGAACAACTGAGCTAGGTAATACCTCTTATTTTTTTAGTTTTATAAACTGAGACTTAGAGATAGGTGACCAGTCACTGCAGGGTCCTTTGAGTGGCAGGTTAGTGTACTTGGTTAAATCTATTGCTTGCTCTGGAAGGCAGAGTTATAAGAATAACTACTCTTATTGTCTGAGGGTAAGACCATCTCCTTTCCTGGCCAGAACAACAGGTCCTCCATGTTAAATCTCTGCCACTGTTTGTGTCTTAATTGTGTTCTTTGCCCTTTCCCTGGGCACACTTGAAGCTCTTGTTCTCACTACATGATGTAAACAAGTGTGAGTGAGAGGTCTTCTTTTCCTTTCTCACTTAAGGTAGAAATTTATTCAGAGCATCCTTGACCATGTCCAAGAGCGTCTAGGACAGCCATGGATTCCATGGTTGGAATGGGAATATTGTAAAACCTGATAGTTCATTTTCTTTATTTCTTAACCTTGTCTGTGGCCCTCACTGGGACTTCCAGTTTGTTGATCCTACCTTGTCTGCACCGTCCCTCAAATTACTCATTAATTTGCTTCCGTAGCTTATATTTTATGACCCACTAACACCTCCTGTTTCCTTCAACCTTTGAGACTGTCTGCTCGAATGTTTTTTGTTTTTAGTAAATGTGAAAGTAGAAGCCAGCAGGAGCTCGAAACCCTTGACCATCATCTCTTGCTCTTCAGCCTGTTTATTCTGTCTTCCTCCTATTATTCTGGAAGAATAGTCCCTGCTCTTAAGTCTAACTGCTTCATTCATGTTCTGGATCCCATTCTTTCTCATCTCTTAGTAATCGAATCCTTTCTCTTCTACAAAATCCTCTTTGTTCCACATCCCCTTCTAGATACCACTCTCACTTCTCTGTTCTTCTTTACAGCAAACACTGACAGTTTGACGATATCCACTATAATTTCTCTCCATTTTTTCCTCAAATCTCTTCCCTTCAGGTTTTTGCCATCACCCTTGACACATATCTCTTTGTCAAAGTCACTGATGAACTCCATGTTAAATCCACTGATTCATTCTCAGCTCTGGTCTTATTATTCTTTTTTTTTTTTTTAATATTTATTTATTTTTAGTTCTCGGCGGACACAACATCTTTGTTGGTATGTGGTGCTGAGGATCGAACCCGGGCCGCACGCATGCCAGGCGAGCACGCTACCGCTTGAGCCACATCCCCAGCCCCTTATTATTCTTTTTGGGGTACTGAGGAACAAGTCCTTGCACATGTTAGGCAAATGCTCTGCCACTGAGTTATAGCCCTGTTCTAGCTCAGATCCTCTTTAACCCATGAGCAGTTCTAGACACAGTGTATCCCGTCTTCTTCAGTGAAACTCTTCCTTTGATTTCCAAAAAATTACACTCTCCTGGTGTTCTTCCTTTTTTTTTTTTTTTTTTCCTAGCCGCTCTGTTTCTTTGGCCTCATCCTGTCTCACTTATATGCTGATATCTTTCAAATTTATGTACTAATCCAGACCACTACCCTAAACTCCAGACCAATATCTCTGTCTGCTCATTTGACTTATCTATTTGGTTGTCCAATAGCCATCTCAGACTTAATGGATCCCAAAGGAAGCTCCTGATCTCCACTAATCCTCCAAATCTGTTTTCCACCTGGAATTCCTCACCCCAGGAAATGGCTGCTCCATTCTTGTTCAGGCCCCAAAGCTTTCAGATTGTGCCTGACTTGCCTCCTACAGGTATTTGCTCATGGATACCTGCTGGGGTGTGGTCTTCTCTGCTCCTTTCTTGCTCAGGCCCCAAAGCTTGGATTCTGTGTTGATTCCTCTTTTTGTTTTTTACCCCTTACCTAATCTTTCAGAAAACCCCATTGTTTCGATCTTCAAACTATTTGTAGAATCCAGTCACTTTCACCATCTTTGGCTTCATCACTTGGGTCCATGTGACCACCATCTTGCCTGGATTATGGCAACAGCTTCCTTATGGTCACCTTCTTTCCTCTGTCCCATTCCTCTCTACTGTCTGTAGTAGCTCAAGGAGCCCTCTCCTAAAATCAGTCAGATCATGGCACTTCTCTGTTCAAAAAGCTCTGGTGGTTTCTGTCACAAACAGGCTGGTTTGTCTAGAAATAGACACTGAGACAGAGCTTGGAGCACAAGATATTTGCTATGACCAATGCCTGTGAGAGGAAAGAGAAAAAGGATGGGCAGAAGAAGAACTTGAACTGGGACAAGGCCTTGGGCAACACTGCAGAAGTCCTGGAGCAAGAGTTGCCTATTAAAGAGATCTGTTTCAGGCCCAGGTAATATCCTTGCTCAGCTACTGCATATGGCCTGCCCTGGGAAGACATGACCTTGGGCAGGTGGCCTTCTCCAGCTGAGGCAGATCCCCCAAAAAGCTGATTGCAGGTAGAAAGTCCTTCCCTGCAGCTGGTCCTACCTTGAAGGGGAARCTGAGTTGTTCATCTCTAGGTGTCCTGCCCTGCTGCATCTCATGAAGAGTCTAAGTCCTTCCAATGGTCTATAAGATTCCAACCATCTGGCCTCCCTGACCTCACGTCCTCGTCTCCCCAGCTCAATGCCTCAGGCACAGTGATACATTGCTTTCCCCCAGCACRGTGAGCCCTCTCAGGCCTTTCCATTTGCTTTCTGTCAGATTGTCAGTTTGTGCATGACTTGCCTCCTACAGGTATTTGCTCATGGATACCTGCTGGGGTGTGGTCTTCTCTGATTCTTTCCCGATTTCCTTTCTCCATTACATTTCTCACCATCTGAGAAGGTASGTTAATTAAATTACTTAATTTGTTTATTTGCCAATAAGTCTTTTCTATTCTGCGATGAGATGGATTTTCATCTCTTTTATTCATTACTTTATCTGTAGTGTCCCAAATAGGGCTAAATAAAGTTGAACGGTGGTGCACAGATGCCACCATGGATGTTAAGAACAGGCATCCTCAGCTCATCACCATGCTCCTGGTCTTACCAGCCCTATATTCCCCCAGGCCTCTGGAGGCCCCATCAAGATCCTGATGGAAAAAAAAAGAAAATTGCTGTCTCTATGAAAGCAAGTGGCTTAGCAACGCTGTTTCTCTTCATTTGACTCCCAGCTTTTGTACACCTCTGTGCCCATGGGCCCCCACCCCCTGGTGACTCCCAGTGCACTTGAGAGTAGCTGATTYTGCATCAGTCTTTGTAACTTCCATCCCAGACTCTTGGTTACCCTGTGAGAATTTCCCTATGCTACAGAATAGGTCATTCTGCTATTTTTACCACAGATTTGATACAGTAGCTTTTACAAAAAGATAAGCCAAAGTTTTTAGACATTATGTTAGTGGACTGTCATTCTGTGTTTAAACAGAACACAAAGGAAAGCTTTCTGAGATCATGGCACAGTGAAAACAGCCTTGGTGAGACAAAAGGCCTTCTTTGGAGAGGGGAGGGGCTTCCAAACTCAGGGGGGCCTCTTGGACAGTGGTGGCAAGAACACCACAAGTCCAGTCAGGGCGTTCCTGAGCCTTGTTCTTGATGAATGAAGGAAAAATGGCCCAACCAAACAGGGCCCCAGACTGTTGAAAAAGGCCTGTGGCTGTTTGTCCTTTGGGCACAGACTTTCTCATGTCAGTCCCCATTCTTTTTAGGATTCCATATGTAGCAATTAAGTTAGAGGGGAGTGCTGGGTTACATGCATGTACGGGTAGAGATGATGGAGGAATGAGCTAAAGTAATACCTACCTTTGTGTGTGTATGTGATGCCAGGGATCAAACCCAGGGCCTCGTGTATGCGGGGCAAACACTCTACCAATGAGCTACATCCCCAGCTCTAATAATTACTCAATTTTTTAAATACCTTCTGTGTACCAGGTCCTAGATGTTTTTCAGTTATTAGTCTACTTGCTTCTTTATTAACAGTCCAGATTGTATGTGTAACGGACCAAGGCAAAGACAGGTGGGATAATTTGCCAAAAGCCATTCAGTTAGGTGCTAGAGCTAAGATTTGAACTCAGAAAACCAATGTTGTCATTGTGGATAAATAAGAGAAAGTGGAAGATAGTTTTTCTGTAAACCTTTACTTAGTGACTCTTACAATGATAAGTCAACGCCATTTCAGAGGCTGGTACCTTCTCATGTCAGTTTCAACTTTTGGGCATTTTMGCAATACTTTTGGCAGTTCATTGAGTACGTGTTGATCATGACCTTATCATRTTCCAGGCATAAGGTAATGAGGTACTACAAATTTTAGGGATCACCTCCATATGGGCCCTGTCCAAAATAGCTGTGTGTTGAAAGTGTCCATTTCTATTCCTTCTACACTCATTAGCTTCATTCTGATTCTTGCCTGCTGGGGTTCTATTATCTAGGAACATCCTTTTCTCTATAATTACATGTCTTTTCATTCAGAGCACCCTTATCTAACCAAAGTTCTATTCCAAACTTCTCATCAGGGATGGCAGCGATATATAGATTTGTAAAGGTTTTGTTGCTTCATATTGATGGAAAAATTCCCAAGTCTTCTTAAAGTCCTAGAAGAAAGTCTGAACATCCAAAATGAGAGCTAAGTCTCTTTATATCCCAGAGGAGTCTGCTTTGTAGATTTAGAGAAGGTATCTCCTATGTGCTGGATATGTTTAAAAGTCTCTTGCCCCAAAATACCATTCATTGTTGTCAAAGATGTCTGTTCTGTCATTGCTAGAGCCAGTTATTCAGAGTAAGACAGTGTAGCCCCCTGAAACTCGAGTTACAAAGCAGAAAGGTTTTCTCCTATAGGGAAAAATAGTTGGTTGAGATAGTAATGCATAGTCAATGCTTGTCAGAGAAGGGTTCAGGGAGAATGAGATTTGAGTTTAATATGTTTTGATGGGGACTAAAGAAGGTACCCGAARGTTTGAGGTAGTCTTAAAAGGAATGCACCTGTCCTTTTTGGGGACAAAAGGTAGTGTTCCCTTTCCTTAGGGTGGCTTTAGGGGAAGTTTCTACTATGGATATTAAGTGGGTCTCAAAGAGAAGTTTTTTTCCACCTGGCGTGGCTTTCCTTAGTTAACTGGATTGAAATAGAATTGTTAGAAGAAAATTAGAGACCAGCCCTGGAAGCAATAAAGTTGAAGACTCTATTAATAATCCCTTAGGGATCTGTCAGGACCTGTATACAAGTTTGAGAGGAAGATCTTGGATTGGAATGCCAATGGCAGTTTTTATATTTCTAAATCACAATGATTGCTGCTGCTGATAGGAAATTCTGTTTTTCTTTTATGTTAGTGTCTAGTAAAGAATTTACAAATGAATAAAGTCAAATACACAATATCCCAAGTCAATTACTGAAAGATTGATTTTTTTTTTTTTACCATATGAGGGATGGAACCAGGGGTGCCAACCCTTTTAAAATTTTATATCATGCTCAGTTGCACAGGCTGGCCTCAAATTTGTGATCCTCCTGCCCCAGCCTCCTGAGTAGCTGGGATTATAGGGATATGCCACTGTAACTGTCTTTTAAATAGTTAATTTTTATGTACCAAAATTTTTTTCCAGTTTATTTCTGTCGTAAAAATTTACTCCTTCCCTAATATTTGGTGCAGTGAGGTGTTGAAAGAATTTGCTAAGTAATCACTAGAGGTTGAGATTCTAGTGAAAAACAAAAATGCATGGCTTAAAAATTGAAGATACTAACTGGAGGACAGTGGAAGGTAGATGCTTCTCACTGTAAATAATTAAACTCAAGAGTGCAGACAGGAGAGATCTTGGCACCCAGAGAGACTTGACTGAGAAGGATGCATATTTTATCCAACACTTGGACTTCTCTGTGAGGGAAATCAAAGGGTCTTTAATAGTTGTTGCAGATTGTGAATATGTGCACCAAAATCTCACTGTAATCAGATTTATTTTTCAAGCGTTTTGCTGTGATTAAAGGAATGAAAAAGAGAAGGGAGGAGGAATGAACGTTTATTAAAGCCTCAGTACTCTTGCCCTTTAGGAGATCTCAGCGTGCCTTGTCATAGTGACCTGGGAACTTTGGTTCCCTCCAGGGCCTTCCTGTTCCATGGGCATATTAGTAGATCAAAGATAGTAGTAGCTCTGTTTTTCTCGAGAAGCAGTGGATCTACTAATTGAGAACTAGATGAGCAAGAGACACATAGGCCTTTTGTAAGGGGCAGGTGTCTGTAAAAAGGGGAATAAAATTTTACAGTTCCCAGAGAGGCAAGCTTTGAGTATGGGCATTTATTTTATTTTTATTTTTTAATTTGTTCTAATTAGTTATACATGACAGCAGAATGCATTTCGATTCATTGGACACAATTGCAGCACAACTTTTCATTTCTCTGGTTGTACAGGTATTGGCATTTATGAAGTGCTTATTTTATTTTAAAAATTAACATAGGCTAAAATTGATGTGTGTACATTTCTTTTCCTTTCCTTCCTTTTTCTTTTTGCAGGACTGGGGATGGAACCCAGGGCCTTATGCATGCTAGCCAAGTGCTCCACCACTGAGCTCCACCCCCAGCCCCTGTTTCTGTAAGTTCTAATACATGTTTGTATCTGTGTAACCACCACCACCACCACAATCAGGATTAGAACAGTTCAGTAACCCCCATTCCCTTGTACTGCTTCTTTGTAGTCACTCTATCTAAACAGTGTTTCTCAAGTTCCTTTTTTGAAAACTCACTTTCCCAGATGAAAGTCTCCATTGCCTTTCATTTGTTCATTTTTATGCAGGAAGTGTGCCTTGCTCATTTTTGAAGTAATTCAAAATGACATGGTTAGTAAGTTTGCAAGACTGCCTGTCCTTTATTATAATGGGAGAAAAAACCCTGGAAAGATGGCAGCTCTTTCAGTATTGCCATATAAATTTTTTTTTTCCACAACCTTACTTGTTGCTAGATTGGAATCTGCAAAGAAAACACACTCAAGAAATTTCCCTGGAAGAGGAGACAGAGGTTTATTTTTTATTTAACGATTTACCCCTTGACACCTGGGAAATGATTAGTTGATGTTTTCAAAGCAGATTAAGTCAGTGTGGTTAATTAACTGTGGTAATCAGGTGACTTAAATCAATTAACTCCTTGTTAACAATTTCCATCAATTTTGTAAATAAATGACTAAATCAGTAAATTGTACTCTTAAGATGAAAGACTGTTTCCTGATTTATTTTGTTGATGACAAATTAGAGATTTCTCCTCCTCATTCCCTCCCTGCCATCCTTACTCTTAATAATGAGAATCCTTAAGCCAGTTTTAGTTTGAGAGGAACACACCAGAGTAACGCTTAATATATGGTTTTAAGGAAAAGTCAAGTGTAGAGACACCTTTGCTCCTTCATCTCAGCACATTTTGAAAGAATGATTTAGGGAATTGAAACTTAATAAGTAAGCGTGTACTTATTAACATTAAAGGATAATGGGAGTTGAAAGTAATGCTGCAACTCACTCTAGGATAAGCTAATTATTGAATCATTTAATGTTTTCTTTTCCTTTTCCTATATTAAAGCTGATTGAGGGATATAATAAAATGAAACAGATTTGGGGTTTTAGCTAGCAGTAAACTTTAATGGACACTTAGGAACTCTATTTAGAAGGAATTTATCAAAACATTGGGGTATATGTATTTTTACCTTTATTTTTTGGGACTGGGATTGAACTCATAGCTATCTGTCATTACCTATGTAAGTTTGCATTCATCTTTAAATCTTGATTGTTAAGATACCACGCACATATACAACTGAAAAGTTGTTACTTTAAAAAATATTTATCATTTATAATTCCCTTCCTTGGTTACATGACTTTACTGTGTCCTGGTCTCCAGTGAAATATGGACCAGACTATTATAAACTRTATTTCATAGCTTTGAGTGTGCCTTTGCATTTTCTGAAAGACACTGAACACTTGGAGGACTTGCATTGAAAGACAGATGACATAGGGTTGTTTAGAACTGTGCCAGCCAGGAAGGAATATTTGAATAGCCTTTGAGGAGTTAGTAAATATTTTCATATTTGCAAAAATTCTATGCTAGGGCTGGGGATGTGGCTCAAGCAGTAGCGCGCTTGCCTGGCATGCGTGCGGCCCGGGTTCGATCCTCAGCACCACATACAGACAAAAATGTTGTGTCCGCCGATAATTAAAAAAAAAAAAAATAAAAAACTATTAAAAAATTTCAAAAAAAAATTCTATGCTAAAATCACTCCCATTTTTGTAAAGAAAAATTTCTGTGGTTTCCTCAAAGCTATAGAAGGTGGCCTTCATTTTGGGAATGAACTGAATTCAGGGATGCACATTTCAATCTCTGGCTGCCAAGTCAAACTGGGCTCTCCCACTATTATAGAAGTTCTGGGTCATGCTCCCAGGGCCCTTTCTCACTTGCCCAGGATCGCCAATCTCAGCAGGTTTTTCAGGGACAGAGTTAACCTGTGGCCAAACCCTTTCTGATACTGGGACATGGCCTGAATTAGAGCTTGGAGGTTTTGATCTGCTGCTTTCCAGATGTGTTCCCGTTGACCTCTCTGCAGTTTCCTGGTCTGTCCAGTGGATATTAGTCATTTCTACCTCACAGGTTCCCGGGACTATTTAAAGGACATCGTGTGCAAGGTCCTGGCACTTGGTGAGTGTTCAGCAAACATTTGGCCCTATGGGAACCTGGTACTAAATCGTTCATAGTTGACCAGCTCTTGGTTGGGTCAGTGCCTCAGAGCAGCCAGCATGCTGTGGTCTTTTGAAATAAAGAAACCACTTGTCAAATTCTCTATTCATAGGAATTGCTGGGGGGAAAACTACAGTTTTTTTTTTTAAAGGAGATGGAACTATCAGATGAGGCACTATTAGAAGACAAGACCTTGTAATCTGCCTGTCCACCCCAAGAACATTTAGTCCTTCACCTCCCAGGTCTTGAAGGCACAGACCCTGATGTCATGTTCCTGAGTTCAAACTTCTCAGCAGACTCTGTTTTCTGTGAGTTTCATGTGCCCTGGAATTGTTTCCTGTAAACTTGGCTTTGTTCAGAGTTTACTGGTGATATTTCTGTAACTCTGAGGACAAGAATGATAGAAGCATGGGTCTGAGTAGAAGTCACGGGTGTTCTCTGGCCAAGGAGAAGCATTTCCAGAGGGAAGGTACACTTGAAGATGAACCCTTGACTTTGTGAGAAGTTTTAAACAGAACATGTAAGAATCATCGTCTATGCTTTTTTTTTTTTCTTTCTTTTAAGAGCCCCTTATTAATGAAACTTAGAAAGGTCAGTGAGAAATTCTACAGGTGAGAAAGCTATTAAACTAGACTGGGCTAGTAATTTTAACTATAAAAATTATCTCTGCTGTATTTATTGCACAAATATTTACTGAAAGCCTGTTGTGTCAGGAACTTGTGATATATAGATGAAGAGACATGAAAATAAGCATTTGAGGTAAAATAGAGGTTTAGAAACACAGAAGAGGGGATGATGATGGGCAGGAGGCATGAGGGGCCTGAGGGCAAGGATGGTGGTGTAGATTTGCTATTAGAATTGAGTTTCAGCAGCTAGGGGGACTGAGGCAGGAGGATTGCAAGTTCAAAGCCAACTCCAGCAATTTATCAAAGCCCTAGGCAACTCAGCAAGAGTTGGGGTGGGGATGTGGCTCAGTGGTTAAGCACCCCTGGGTTCAATCCCCAGTACCAAAAGGAAAGATAAAGGAAAAAAAAAACTGTCTTGTAGGAGGGTGTTGCAGGAGATGTTGGGGAGTGCGTTGTGGGGGATGTGTGCTTCAGAGCTATGTAAGCTGGCAAGTACTGTCATCAGACTTCCATTTTGCAGCAAGATAATACTTGCTGCAATGAGGAAAAGCAGAGCAATCAGTTAAGTTAGAGGATTACTTACTGGAATTATCTGGGTGACAGATGATGAGGCTCAAACTCCACTTGTGGACCTAGAGGTGACGAGAAGGGGACCGAGTCACCATGGGATGCAGAGAAAGCTTGCATTTGTTTCTGTTTTTGATAATTCCCATTATTTTTATAAGCAAATATGTTTTATTGATAGGAATATTAGCCATGTTATCTCAATGTATGTGCATGTTAATTAACATTCATAAATAGTGGCATAAATTCTTAGTGTTTTGTTGCAGTGCTGGGGGTAGAACTAGCTTTGTGTATGATAGACATTTGGTTCTTCACCTGAGCCACTGAGCTACATCCCCAGTTTAAAAAATCTTCCTGTTTGAAAAATTCCTGCATCTTCTTTTTCATTTTTTTGGTACTAGGGATTGAACCCAGGGGCCCTTAACCACTGAGCCACATCCCCACCCCTTTTTATATATTTCTAAAATTTAGAGACGGAGTCTTGCTAAGTTGCTTAGGGCCTCACTAAGCTGCTAAGGCTGCCTTTGAACTTGCCTCAGTCTCCCAAGTTGCTGGGATTACAGGTGTATACCACTGCGCCTGGAAAGTTCTAGCTTCTTGACCACTGTGGTGTAGTGAGTGACATCTGGTTTAGTTGATGGATTTTTACTTGGATCAGTTCCCTGAGGGAGCATCTGGAAATGCACTGGGGCATTTTTTAGTTGTCACAATGCCTGAGTATCATTACTAGCATTTAGAGACAGAAGATGAAGATGGAAACCAGCTTCAATACACAGGACAGTCCCACACTTCAAAGAATTTTCCAGGCACAGATGTCAGTATTGCCCKTCTTGGTAGGTAGGGAGTGAAGAGAGAGACAGGAGGGTCATATTGGTACTGAGAGCTGTCATTTACTGAAACTTGGTATACAGTCACCATAACTAGAACATTATGGAACCTTATGATGGCCTAGGGAGGTAGATACCAGTAATGATCCCCTTTTTGTTGATGAGCAAGCCGAGGCAGAGTGGGAGAGTTTACTCTGGGTCTCGCATACTTACCACGGGTGCTCTATTATTTCCACAGRCTCTACTGTCTTGATTCCATAACTTTTAATATCATGTAACTTTTATGTAACATGTACTCGATTTAACAAAATGATTAGTTATAAGAGGAAAAGAACTGCATTTTCTTTAGGCGTTTCTAGTGTATTATATATCAGAATACACCTCTTGGGAACATTTCTGCTGGTTCAGTAGAATGCTGCCAAATTACCACCTCCAAGTGTTTTCTTTTTAAAATATAAAAAAATTTTGATAACATTTTTTGAAAAGTATGGTGGCTTTGTGGATTGGGAGAAACTTATTTGAAAAAAACAGTTGGTGCTCCATAAATGCCTAAAAGGAAAGGAATTGTTTCCATGTTGGTACTGAGTAGCTTTAGAGGATATCATGAATCTCGGAAATAGGGTTTTTAAAAAAATTTTAATGTAAAAGAAAATCTGTCTCAAGTACAATCTTTGGACCTTGAAGACAGGTGTCAGTGACATCAGAAGAAGAATGTGGCTCTGTCCTGAACATGTCTTGCACTTTCCTGCCTCTGTGCTCATTCCAGTTCATTTCCTCTGGGAGGAATCCCCTCCCCTCAGACCCACATATTTGTAGTTTAAGTGGTCCTTCCTCTACAGGGCCTTTCTGGATCTCCACTGGATGTTACCTGAATCTCTCTTACAGCACTTATCATCATACCAAGAATTATAATTATTTATGTATATGTAATCTAGGAGCATAGATKCGAGGTGTCATCTGTGCTTCCTCTGGGCTCCTATGCATGGCACAGTGCCAGCATAAACAAGAACTCAAGACATCTTTGCTTCATGGAAATTTAAAAGACTAACATGAGTTGTAGTGAAGCAAGTCCATACGCAGGATGGCATTCTCTACTCTGGATTCCTGTTGCAAAAGGGATTTTGTTTGGCTTGAGTGAGATAAATATTCATTTTTCTATTACATAAGCAGCAATAGAAGGCTGGTTTGGTACTCCCATGGTATCATCAGGGACGTAGCACCTATTTTCCTGATCACCACCCTCAGTTTGTGGCTTCCTCGTTGTCCAAAATGGCTGCTCTTGCCAATGCCATCCTTTCTCTATACCAGGTAGCGGGAATAGAGGAGGAAAAAGAAGGAAGACTTTCCAGAGGTCCTGCACAACACCAATGCTTGCATTTGATCTCACTGGTTGACACTTAGTCCCAGGACCACACTTATTTAAAATTTGGGAGTGGAGCTTCCTCCTAGCTGAGTGCATTGTTCACCTGAATAATACTGGGGTTCCATTATTAAAAAGGAAGGGGGAAATGAATGTTGTGATATACTAGTTCTGGTGCTGGCCCACAGATGGTCAGGTGGACACTGGGCATCTTTAATCCAGCTTTTAATACCACATTTTGGGAAAGGCATGGAAAATTTGAAGAGTTTGGAGGAGAGAAACAAGGATGGTGGGAGAATTGGAAACAGTGTTTTGGGAGGAATCATGTGAAAACTGGGGACGTTTCTTTAGAAGAAGAGAAGAATGAGAACAAGGGCTAGCTCTCTTGAAGTATTTGAGGGACTATTATATGGAAGAATGATAAAACTTATTCTGAATGACTCCAAGTCATAGGAAGGAAATTGTAGGCATGTAGAATCTATCTACTCACCGAAATGCTGGATTTGACTTTAAGATCTTTCTTGACCTTTGATCTTTACAGTACAGATATATATATCATACGATTGCATCCCCCGAATCTGTGATTTTGAGGTGAGAAATATTTCTCATTCTGTTTTATTAATTAAAACTTTGGTTCAATGGTTGGTGTGGTGATAATACTATTAACAGTCTGAATTTTGAAAAACTCAGTATTTTTCCTTTTGTGAGATGTAAGTTCTATATTTCCTTCATGCTTGATTTTTTAAAAAAAATGTCATCAGGTCAGAGACAATTTCCCACTGGCTGTCGTGGTACATGTCTGTAATCCCAGTGACTCAGGAAGCTGCAGCAGGAGGATTGAAAGCTTAGGGGGCCAGCCTGGGCAACTTGGCAAGACCCTGTCTTAAAACAAAAAGAAAAGGGCTGGGATATAGCTTAGTGGTAGAGCACTCACCTAGCATGTTGGAGACCCTGGGTTCAATCCCAAACACCACAAAACAAATCACAAGAAAAGCAAACAACACCCCCAACCCACACACAAATAACCAACACCAACAAAATTCAGAGCTATTATCAACAATAGAAATAATCTAGCAAAGAATTACTTTATTTCACTGAGTAGATGATATATTTTTGATATATGTAATAGATATGGGCTTGAAAACTTCCCTGGTTTTGTGAATTAAGTTCCATTTTTCTAATTTGGTTTTATTTTGGACACAACTATATTATTTTGTATGAACCTGAGATACAAGAAATATTTAGTTAAGGAGAATATGATTAAAGTAAAAATGATAATTTAGTAATAACTTAATACTCAAATTTCTGTGTTAAATCAGTTTTTATGGGAGAATAAACTATCATAATTAGATTGATTTTAAAAGATTCTCCAACTTTGTTGCAGATTATAAATATGAAAGTGCTATAGTGTATAAGCAAATATATATGAAACTGGAAACAAACCCTTATAGAGTCGAAGGGAGACAATATGTAGAGTCTAAAGGATCAGGAAACACTTGCCTAATTAAGACTAGTAAGGAGAGCCAGAATTTGCTGAACACTACTTTAAGCTCCAGGCCATTCTTCTCTCTCTATCCTCCTGTG